TTTTTTTTTTTTTTAAAAAAAGCAACAAACTGACAAATCTGACAGCTAAATAGGAAATTGTGGATCAAATGCAACTTAGATGTAGTCAAAGTGTAGCTCCTGTCAGGCAGCCTTCTCCACACACTGATGTATCTCCTCTGGACTCTTTATGTTTCAGTCTAGTAAAGAAAGACACTGTTAGCCAGGCAGTGGTGGCGCATGCCTTTAATCCTAGCACTCAGGAGGCAGAGGCAGGTGGATCTCTGTGAGTTCAAGGGCAGCCTAGTCTTTAGAGTGTGTTTCAGGACAGCCAGGGCTACACAAAGAAAGAAATAAAAAGATCCTGTTTCATAAAACAAGTTGGATGGGGGGCTGGGGAGATGGCTCAGAGGTTAAGAGCACTGGCTGTTCTTCCAGAGATCATGAGTTCAATTCCCAGCAACCACATGGCAGCTAACAAGTGTCGGTAACTCCAAGATCTGACACCCTCTCACAGATATACATGCAGGCAAAACACCAATGTATATAATATAATAATAAATAAATTAAAAAAAAAACAAGTTGGATGGCTTCTGAGGAATGACATCCAAAGTTGACCTTTGACCTCCACATGTACACCCAACTACAAACAAATTATACAAATTATTTATACACACACAAAGAGATATACATACATACAATGGAGTATTATTTGGCCATAAAATGAATCATGATGCACGCAACAGCATGGATGAACGTTAAAACAATGCTAAGTGAATGAAGCAGCTGCAGAGCTGTAGTGGTCTCCCTTCCCGACTGCGCAGGGCAGATGGCTGAGTTGGTACATCGTGCCGGCCACTGTCTGGTCATGTGACCGTCCTCTCATTGTCTCTTCTACAGCACTGTGATTGTATTTTATGTGCAGAGTGGGCCACCTTTCAAGGTTTTCAGAGCTGCTGATGTGGTCCGGAATCTGCACAGGCGGCTCTCAAAGGAGAAGGCAAGCTTCTTACCCTTCAAGGTCTTGAGGATAGACACAGCAGGTATGCCTCCCATGGAAATACTATAATTAAAAAACAAAACAAAACAACAACAACAACAGAAAACCAGACTTGCCAGTTACTGGAGTGTTACAGGCACAACATGGACGCTGTTGTGGTAGAATGCAGAATGAATGTGCCCCACAGTATCTTTGAACACTGTTTGGAAGATTATGGAACTCTTGGGAATTCGAGCTTTGCTGAAGGAGGTGGACCCCTGTGGGAAGCTCTTGGGGTTTCCCAGCCATTCACCCTGCCGCCATCTACTCCCCCTGCTTCCTGACTGTAGATCAGTGTGACCAGCTGCCTCCCATCTCTTGGTCATGCCTTCTCTGAACTGTGGAACTGTGAGCCCTTCCCCTTTAAATTCAGGAATTTGGCCCCAGAAACAAGAATGGTATCTTATACAGGTGTTTTTCTTTCACTCCCCCTCCCTCCCCCCTCCCCCTTCTCCCCGCCAGGGACTCTGCATTTATTTCTCCAGTAGGTTTTTTGTGACACATTTGCCAACTACTCCTGTCTTGGAAAGAAACCGGAGAACAGTGGTGTCATACATCATTGTTTCAATAATTTCTCCCGCCAGTTTAAGATAGCTTATACGTGTCTTCCAGTGGTCACTACATTTCTTAGCTCTGCTTGTCCCTTTAAGATACCAAACCGATTCGTAGTTCCATGGTCCCCATCCTCATCTCAAGAGCAAATGTTAATGGAGTAGTCACCTCAATGAGTTTCCAGGATATGACGATGTTTGCACAAATTTAATTTGTTTTAGATATGTGTTAGTTGTAATTGACTTTCTCATTCATAACACGGAGTAACTTGGTAACTTGATTTTTTTCAAAGTAGAATCTTTTGTTTTTCTAAGATCCTTGGCAATGATTTATTTATTGTAGAAATGTGAACTATCCTGAAAGGGGCGAAGAAGAAACCAATCCTCCGGTTTGTAGAGTTTAGAATTCCCATGGCCCAAATATAACTTTTGTTACTATTCCTGTGTTTCTCTTCCTAGTTGCTCCATCTTTAGGAAATATAATGCAATCAAGATGATTTGATTTTTTAGTGTGCTTGTGTGTGTGAGTGTGTATCTGTGTGTTGCTGGGGACTCAATCTGGTGTCTTACACCCGTTAGGCAGAGTGCTCTACCACTGAGTTACATCATAGCTCTTGTAATGTGTCTTTAAACTGTAGGCCATACCATTATTATTTCCCCAAATCCTTTAGAATTTCTTTTCCATAAGACACTCATGGCTGCCTGGTTTTCCTCCCTGGATGTGTTCTGTAATCATACAAATTCTACCTTGGACTGTAGGAATGATTTTTTTTTCAAGACAGGGTTTCTCTGTGTAGTTTTGGTGCCTGTCCTGGACCTTGCTCTGTAGACCAGGCTGGCCTTGAACTCACAGAGATCTGCCTGGCTCTCTCTGCCTCCTGAGTGCTGGGATTAAAGGCATGCACCACTGCCGTCCAGCTGTAGGAATGATTTAAATGGTGTTACAGTAAAGACAAACTGCCCTGAACTCCCAAATGTTCCCTTTGCACGTGCTCTTTGAGGTTATTATTTTGGTAAATGGTAAGGCTCTTCCTATGAGATGGATTGGCTTTTCCCTAAATTTGCTTCCTGATGAGCTCTTCGATG